CCACTTTAGTTTAGGACTGACTTCTAGAATGACTTCCTCATCTGGCATTTTCTTTGGCTCAGTCTGAAGCTCAAAGCATCAGCTTGCTTTTTTTCTTTTTGTTAACTACCATCCATTGAGTGCATATTACATGCCAAGACCATGCTAAATGCTTTACATATAGTTTCACATTAAATCCTCATAAAGCCACTTTGAGTTAGGTATCTATTTTACAGATGCAAGTCTGAGGCTCAGAGAGGTTAAATAGTTTGGTAGAACTGGAATGCCGAGTCTTTTTGACTCTAGAGCCCAAGCTGGTAATAATTGTGTTATTCTGCTTCTAATAATATTCATCAATTGCAATATTGCAAGACAATGTAAACCAAATTCAGATTATTTAGCATGTGTTTCATGTCTTAGGGCATACATGGGTGTGTAGAATTTCAGGGTGGGAAATATTTAAAAATCAGCTGTATCTTTTTCCTTAGCTAGATTTTGTGTGATAATTTTTAAAAGTAGAAAAATTCTTTAACATGAAACTTCAGGTAACATTATTATAAATAGCACAGTATTTTATATTTCTTCTGCTATAGTACACATTAAATAACTGCATTGTCTCTTCAGTATGAAATGGTTCTTTTTTTTTTTTACTCTATCTCTACTTGCTTCTCCTACTCCTTCTGTTAGGAATTATTTCCACCAGTCTATTTTTGAGCAATATTTTCAAATCATCTTTTATAATGTTATTTATTTATATAAGTATAAGTACCTTAATCAAATAAAATTAATAGAAAAGCAAAAATATGAAAAAAGTCACTCATAATCCTACTACCTTGCTGTAACTACTCTTTTTAAAAAAATTTTATTGGGGAATCAGGGAGGGGAACAGCACTGGGGAATCAGGGAAGGGGAACAGACAATTTGCTGTCCTTTTTGTTCTTCAGTCTAGTTGTGGTGGATGTCGCTTCACTCGTCCATGTTGGTGCCATCATTGTGCTCTTCCCGGGTGAGGCAGTCACTCACCGGCCATTGGACGGCAGCTCCCGGTGGCTCATGGCATCTCACGAGAGCGCACACCAGCTGCTTGACAGCCCCACTGCAGCCTACTGGTAGCTAGCGACTCACGGCAGCCCAGCTCCAGGTCGAGCTATTGTTCACCATCTTAGCTGTAGAGGGTGCAGCGTCACTGGCCCTCATGTGAAATCCGAACCCTGGGCCATGCTGCTCAGAGCTGGTGTCCCAAGCCAACGCTTAACCAATGCGCCACTTGGTGGGCCCTGTAACTACTCTTAATATTTGGAGTAGAACCTTCCAGACATTTTCCTTTGTAGAAATTCATTTATGTAAATAGTTTCTTTTTTTGCAAAAATAACATCATTCTATTTTCTTGCTTGCCTTTTTTCAGTCAACAATATATTAGGAGCATAGTTCAATGTCAACAGATATATATTTACAAAACCATTCATCATGACTGCATAGTATTCCAGTTATGAATGTACTGTACAATATTTTACCAAACAATTCTTCCTCGACATCTAAGTTGTTTCTGTTAAATTTTCCAGCTCCCTGCATTCCCACTCTCCTGAGTCCCATTACTATTCCAAGAATTTACTTTGGATACATGCAAGAATTCCAAATTATTCTCAAACTTCCACCTTATAATAATCCCTATGTAGAGCTAAAGAAATTATCTGGCCATACATACTACCAGAGTCTTAAGAGTGACGTCTCCTTATAAACCCAGAGGGAACAGCAGAGAGAGAGATGGTAAAAATATTTCTCAGTCATCTTCTCAATACGATTTCTACTGTCAAGGAGGAAGCCCCATGAAGAACAGAGAACTAAATAAAGTGAGGTGAAAAGATGAGGTTTGGAGCCAGACAGTCTATGATTTGAATCTGGTTTCTGTCATTCACTAGCTGTGGGAACTTAAATGAGTTATTTGGCCTCTCTAAGTCTCTGTTTCCTATTCTGTAAAATAGGGATAATAAAATTTATTTCATAAAATTACTAGGAGGATTAGTAATATCATATGTAAAGAATCTAACACAATGCCTGACACAATATTGGGTGCTCAAAAACCGGTAGACGTACACAAGCTATTACCAACACCTTTTCTTTAATGTACAGAGCACTGAGGACATATTACATTTTCAAAAATGCCACTATCATAAATGTCTTTAAGAAGAATGGTGAGAAACCTTACTCATAAGAACAGAATGGTTACTACCAAGATACTGTGACCAGAATCCTTTGTATCAGCTTCTGAAGAACATCGATCGGTGGGATTGCAATATGGTTTTAAGTCACACTGTGATTTCAGTGATAACTTTCAGCTACAGGACAAGCGAAGAAACACCAAGTCCTTGACCTCGCCTTTATGAGCTTTATAAAAGTATTTAATACTACCACTGGATGTGCATTCTGATAGCTACTAAACAAGTTTGCCTATACAATAATGGCTATTGGATAACTTCTACAATATTCGTAATCTAACAAAATGGAGGTATTGTTCAGTAGACTAGGATTCATTTTGAGGTTCCCAAATATGGCCCCAAGGTTCTCTATAAAGGTATGCTTTGCTCTCCAACCTCAATGGAGTAGAACAATTAAAGATCATTTCAAATGAAAAAAACAATAAGGGAAAACAGTAGCAGATAGAGCTAGGTGTTGAGAAGGATCAGACATGAGGTGACTCTTGTTGAACAAAGTCTACAGATCATGAATTTTAGGCAGATTTGCAAATAATGATAGCACATGCTCTGTAAATAGCAGCTGTTGCCACAAGCCAAAGGGCAATATTTACATGAATCCTGTGGCAAGGTCTATGGACCAGGCCTTGACCTTTCCAGCCAAACTCACACACTTGGTAGCACTTTCAGCTGTGTCATCTTGAAAAAAGGAAGGATCACATTATGCATAGATGGAAAATTGCCAATGTACAAATATGTTCTGTCCCCTAAATGAATTTCTAAATTATTTTTTGAAACTTAGAACACATGTTCCTACAGAAAAGGTGTTCTAAAGGGATGTGAGTTTCCCAGATTTCCTCACAAAAGTGCACTTAGCCCACGATGTAACGAAATACTGTACATTGGCCATGAGAACTACAATGGAGCAAAATAGAACAAGCAGGAGCACATCAACACACAACAAATATTTCTTGAGCCTTTCCCCTTGAAACCTCAGGCAATGAAGGGGAATTCTATCCTCCCGTAGCTGCAGTTTGGTGAAAAAGAAATCCTCCACTGCCCTTATCTGGAAGGGTCCTTCTCAAGTCAGGTAGATACATGCACTGCAGTATCTCTCTCTTTCAGTCCTTCTTGAACTTTCTCACCGAACAACCCCTAATAACTGAGGAGATTGAACAGGTAGTGGGGAAGGGGTAGGAAGTCTAACTGGAAGTCGCAAGCTTTTATTTGGAGACACTTCAGACTCTGCAGTTCATTCCTTAATACATCGCACAGAAAAAAAATCGTATTTCAAACACTTTTTGACTAAAGTTGGTGCTCCAGAAACAGGAACCATTTTTATACTGATACTTTCTATACCTGTTGGATAGTATACATGTGCACTTCAGGATGAGAAACAAGGGCACTGGGGGAGAAATCTGAAGAACATGAAAAGAACATAATGAAAGTAAAATCAGAGAAAAGCTAGCTAGCACCCTCTCCTTTCCTCTCTCAGTGGCACATTCCTTCAATCACCAGTGTCTTGCTCTTTGCCTTTTTTTTTTCCCTGATCAAAACCAGTCCTGGGACAGGATCACACATTCATTCACACTAAAGTGTAAATGACCCATAAGAGCTAAGATGTCACAAGGCTTTTGCGTATTAAGATTCACAACTTTAAAACACAAAGACATTTAGGGTATTATCCCCAGGAAAAGGGATATATTGCAAGGGGGGGAGGCAATTGTTTGCCTTCCTGTTATTTGCAGAAATCACACTTGATTTCAGATTGGTAATTTAGGAAGGTGTGTTGAGGGACATTAATCACGATTTCTTTACACTTTGAAAAGTATTTGTTTTGTTTTGGAAATGGTAGGTTTTGTGATTATTGTTTTCTATATGTTTTGCTGCCTTTTGTTCCCCATGACTGAATTTTTAAAACTAGGTTGTCAATATTCCCATTGTTGATCAAAATAAATGGTGAGGAGAAATAGAAAAGGTAATATTTAATAGTTGACATTTGCAACTTTTGCACCTTTTATGAAACGCTTTTATGTCCATGATTATGCATACTATTGGTATTGAATTACTACGAAATAATAACAAGGATACAAACAGAACATGCACCAAAAAAATCACAGTAATTCAATCCAAGTACTTAGATTTAGGTACTTCCCATGAGTTACCCCATGTTCTGTGGGGACCTTGATCTTGCCCCTAGGATTTTAAATATTTAGTGGTGATAGCCAAAGAAGGACTCCTGTACCTTGGCTATCTGGGAGGTATTCAGAGTTGAAAAGAGAACAAATATACATAAAACCCAAGAGTCACACTTTGTCTTGTAAGCGAATGCAGCTACAATTGAGGTTCAAGGAGTGTTTTCCTTCTGCAGAATTTACGAAGGTGGAAATAGCACCACCAATATCCCTTGGACCTGGGAAAGGGCAGTCCCCAGAAGGGTTCTGGGCTTTGCAAATGGTGAGAAAGACGTTCTATAGTACAGTTATAAGCAGAGGAAAAGTTCTTTGTGCAAGAAGGGGAAAGCGCCCCGAGGTACAAAGAGCAGATTTAAGGGAAAGAGGATTCCTTGTGCACGCATCTGCGAGGGGAGCTCAGGCTGACTGTTGGGGGCGTGTGGGAAAGGAGATTTGTAGGGGGCCGCGGGCTGTGGGTTCCCGCCTTCACCCCAGTCCGCGCCCCACACTCAGGCAACAGTTGGTCGTGCGGGGCCAGCTTGGGCTCTGGGTGGGGAGGGGGAGTCTCGCGATCGTTGAGGGGGGGGTGGAGAAAGAGGGGAGGGTGACGGGGGGAGGCCATGACGTAGGGTGGGTGGACGGAAGTGGGGCAGGGTTGAGGGTTATTTAAAGGGGGGGCCGAGCGAAGGGGTTGGAAGCCGAGTGATTCCCCACCCCTGCTCCATCTAGCTCTTTCCAGTGCAGGCACTGCCGCCGCCCAGGAGCCCTCGTCCCCTTCCTCGTCCCTCTCCTCTTTCCCGCTCCAACGCCATGGAGCAGGACAACGCCGCAGTGGCAGCCACCGTGGCAGCCGCTGATGCGAACGCCACAATCGTAGTCGTAGAGGACGAGCAGCCGGGGCCGTCCACCTATAAGGAGGAGGGAGCGGCCGCCGCAGCCACTGAAGCCACCGTGGCCACGGAGAAGGGCGAGAAGAAGAAGGAGGTAAATCGGAAGGGGGTGTGTGTGGGGTGGACAAATCCTGTGTCCGGCCCCTCGGAGGGGCTCAAACCCTGACCTTTAGGCGCCGACAGGTACCGGCGAGCTCGGCGGGGATGGGGGTTGCGGGCGCGCGGAGGGGGGGCGGTGGAACAGTCTAGCATTCGCTCCCCTCCCCCTTTCCTTCTAGCCGCCTGGAGGGCGGGGGCGGGGCTGGGGCGCGGGCGTGGGCACTGCGTTGGGTGCAGGGTGCCCGTTATCCCGTTGCTTGAGGGCTTGGGAGCTTGGGAACCCCTCGACAGCCCCCAGCCCCCTTCACATTCCCGGAACTGGGGTAACGCGCGGGGTGGGGGATGGGGCCGTGCAGGAACCAGCCTCCGCCTTCCCTCTCCTCTCGCTCCCTCTCCCCCCCTTCCCGTCGGCCTCTGCCTGGGAAATCTGGGCCCTTCAATCCCACACTCACGCAGAAGGGGTTTTGTTGGGGCTTCTTTTTTTTAAAATTTAGATTTCAAGGTGCTGGTGGTTGGGAGGCGGAGGACGATAGGAGAGACTTTCATTGCTTTAATTGGCAATGTTGGCATTTTGGGTGGCAGGAAAAAAAATTCCTTGTTCGTTGGGTCCCCGCCTGCTGAGGCGGGGGTGTCACCCCGACAAAATGAGCTCTCTGTGTCGTACCCTTTCCCTCCAGTTCAAACCCCCAACTGAGGAACTGAGGAAAATTTCCAACGTGTGCACCCTCACCCTCTCCTGCCCCGCCCCCGACGGTATAGTGTTTCACTCCAGGGCCACCCAAAATTGTCCCCCAATCCGGCCCCAAGCCTTTTCAAGCTTCCGCCTCCCTCTCCTAGTGGGCGCTGTTGGTTCCTGGACACATGCAGGTTATAAAAAAAATTTTTTAACCGAGCTTCGCCAGCATGAGCTGCTGCTAACGTGAATGAGGGGGACCATTCAGACACCCATTAAAGCCAAATCCAGAAAATATGTGTTATCTCCATAAGGCAAATTTTGTATGGCTCGAGACATGCAAATAAACTTATGAAACGTGTTGCAAAATTGAGATAAAATTAGGATGGGGCGTAAGGATTTTTGATGTATGCTAAAATTGTAGAACGGATCATTTATGGGTGGATTTTTTTTTCTGTTTACGAGTAGACATATCACAGTTTAAAAAACGGTGGGTAAGTAAAATGCGTTTGAGATCTCAAGTGGCTTTGTCTGAATCATTATGAGACTATACGACCAAATGAAAAGCTTTTGAGGGAAATTAACACCTTTCGCCGTGAATTAGAGTAATTTTAAATTCAGCAGTTGTTTAAGTGACGTATTTTACTGTTACAAGTTTGAATAAACAGAAAGATAATTGTAGTGCTAAGTGAAAACCGTAGAAAAAACACATTTTAAGATCCATGCGATACTTGAATCAGTAAGACAATATTGATGATTAAAGTTGGGCCAAATACCAAGCGTCAATATAAATCAAATGTTTGGAAATTCAGAAACGCGTCTAGGTGCCTTTTTAATCCCCTGACTGGGCAAATGTAAGTGCTAAGCTGTCTTTTGTATGGCAGTAAAGGTTGTTGAATTTCCAGGTTGGATAAGTTTTTTGAATTGTGAAAAGAATGGGAATCAATTTTTAAAAACCTATGCAATAAGCACTGAGTTGAACTCTGTAGCCTTATCAGAAATTGCCTTAATAATAGTACCTCATTTGTCCACTCAGCATAGTTTCCTATGAGGTGCTGCATGGCAGGAACTTTCTCCATATCTCAAGTTTACTACTTTGGTCATTACATCTTTTTTATTTTTAATTTGTCTTTAAAATCTAAATATACAAAACAGCTACTTAAGTTTTTTTTTTCATTTGTACTATTCCTTTGAATAAAGTAATTTGGTAGCCCCCCAAAAAACCTAAATATATTGCGCACACTACCTTGACACCTTACATGTTATATTAAGAGTGCAGATTAATCTTTCCCTCATGCTCATCAGTTATTGTACTTTTGACAGTGATACAAAAGCACTTGAGATCTTGGAGGTTGTTTTTCCTCAAGTAACCACCTCCCAGACACTTCCTGCATTGTGTTGATTTTTAAATCTCTCACTCACTCTTCTCCCTCAATTGTCAGGCAATTAGCTATCACTTTTTAAATACTTCATCTACTTTCATCAGAAATATTTTGTTTCTATAAAGGACATAGATGTAACAAGACCATAAAATCATTTAAAACAACTGTAAAACACTGTAAATAAAACAGTGTTTTACTGTAGGTCATGCAGCAGGGAGAGGGAAATAATTATCCCTGAACACCAAGGGGAAGGGGTGTGACGGTAGTAGAACTTACATTGGAATCCTGGGCTTTTGCTTTGACCTTCCTTCTAGTGGTTTTCTCATGTCATTTGCTGCTGCTGCTTTTATTCTCATGGTATGGGGAGCCAAACTTGGTAGAATTACATATCACATTAAAGAAAATGGGCACTGAATGAGAGCATTTTCATGATGTATAAAGTAGATGAGATTTAGTGGATTGACTTGTGATATTTAGCTACAGAAAGGTATTTTTGCTTACCTTCTCGTTCTTAAACTTATTTGGTTTGTGATTGTTGGTAACCTAACTCTGTGAGGTTATCTGGAAAGTGGAGTTGGTATTTTTGGTAATAAAAATGTCAAGAAAAAGGTCATGGTCTTTAAGACAGGGCATCTTGATGACCTTGCACTGCATTTTCATGGCATCTAGATAACTGGATGATAAAATCCATAAGGAATTTATTAGAATATCATAGTCACCTTTTATCTTTTCTGGTATGAGAAGTGTATTTTTGAAAACATGTATACAAATGAGAAGGTTTAGGGTAGGTTTAAAATTCCTTGTGGAAGATAGTGCCAATTAAGTAATTACACCACAGCTTTTAATAGCACTGCTCAAGATTAGGAATTTTAATTAGCATGTAATTAAACTTTTATGATATTTTACCACAAGGTAAGCAAAAAAGTAATAGTAAATTGTTTTTCTAATATTAAACCTTTGATTTTCTATAAGTCTCATGTTATTCGATATATACTTCGTGTATATGAGATGAAATAATTTTCACTATTTTGGAACTTGAAAACTAGATTTCATATAGCTTTTTAAGGAATGGTATAGGTGTGGGTTTTGTCACCCAGTTTTCCTTTACTTGTTGCTTTGAAAATAAAATAGGATTTATAATATATGTGGCAGTTTGAAAGTGTGGAATTGAGGAGATTTTTAGCCGTTTTCTATTCTCATCCATCCAGGATTACATTAAAAACATCGCACATAGATGATATATACACAAGAGATGCTGTAAATCAAGATGGCTATTATTTGGGTTAAGAATAACTGAACAATTATCGGATCAGTGCTCCAAAGAAGGACCCTGACCAGGGCCAAATTCCATGATCTTAGTTTGAATTTCCTCAAAATAGAAATTTTAGCAAATGTTGGAAGATATATACATTAACTATTGGAGCCATGTTTTCCTATGTTTAAGATCGCTTCTGTTGTTGATTTATGATTTAAGTTTTCCGGAGCATGTTGAGAAAAGCCATGATAAAATGGACATAATTTCTTTAGTTTATACAAACAGATTTGAATTTTGACTTGTGCAAAGTCTGTGTTAAAACTGAAATACTTTGGTACTAATGGGTAGATTTGTGTTTTTATTGTTTTATTTCTTGGTTTCTTACAGGGAAGGACGTGCATTCTATATACCTATTTATTGGGTTGTCGAAAATGTCATGACACATTTTTTCTGTTTTTTGTTGCAAAAATGCGTCATGACTTTGCCAACAGCCGAAGATATCTACAAGTACAAGCTTGTCTTTACAAAGGATAGGATGCCTGAGATAAGCCCCCAGATAATTTCAGTATTTTTAAGTGGCTGATTTGTTAATTTTCACTAAATTACAACTTTTTAAATACCAAAAGTTAATAGTTAATAGCTGTGACAAACTGCTTCTGCAAAATATTTATGTAATAGAAATAGTTAAAATAGTTTCCTTCCCTGTTGAAGAAAATAAGTGTAAGTCAAAAGTTTGAAACTACTGTTTTATTATTTTAAATATAAATGGCCACACTGCATTACATGAAGAAGTTTAAATGTTCTGATTAGAATATGAAAACAATAAAAAAGTACATAGTATTTTTTCAGGAACAGAAACCATATTCTTTTCTTCTTAAATTCTGACTTGCTTCCATTACACAAAGAAGTGTTTCTGAGTATTAATATTTACTTTCCTTGAATTTTTTTGGTTTGTAGTTGATATATATTCTAGATTTTAAATCTCCTATTCAATGATTACACACTTTCTTATGCTTTAAATTAAATATAGGCAATTAATGTTGTTTCTCTGGCTTTCACAATTCTTCAGATTGTTTTTTAATTGGATCTCAAGTGTACAGACCTGGATTAATCATAAGCCTTGCTTCATGACATTCTCTCATCGTTGGTCTATGCATAGCCCATGTTGATTTTTTATTTAGTATTTAATTACTTTTTACTGTCTTCAAATGAGAATGTTGACCACTTTTAAGACCTTGCTTTGCAATTTGATGATTTTTTTTTCTTTGAAATTCTAGAAAACTGTTGCTCCATTTCAACCCAAACTTGCTGCCAAAGCTTCTAAATCTGAAAAGGAAATGGACCCAGAATATGAAGAGAAAATGGTAAATATATTCTTGGGTAGGATAGTGAATACCATAATTGATTGTTAATAGAGATGTGAAAGATTAAAAAAATGCATGTGTATATATAATGAATACACAATCGTAGATTTTAGAATTGGAAAGTAATTTAATATATAATCCATCATAGTAGATTTTTGTCAAATAAATGAATCTCCTTATTTTCAGATGATGAAATAAAAGATCAGAGAAACTGTAGGAGTTAGTTGGGACCAGAAGCCACATCTCTTCATTTTTGTTCAGTGTTCTTTACCCTTTATTAAGGTGTTTTTTTTGTGCTGGAAATATTGTATCCACTAAGTGAAAATACCAGTAGCAATTATCAGTATGGCTGAAAGAAAGCAGGTCACAAAGCCAGACTGATATTTTTTTTGTCAGTCTCTCCTTGCTTTGGACATATGAATGAATGCTATACATTATGAAACTTGTAATATGGTAATGTTTTCTTGAGGGAAGGATATTTGCCCAGTGCATGAAAATATTACATGTTTAAGCAGCATAACCTTAGTTATGCTCACCTACTGCTTTGCTACACATTTAATTTAATTTTTACTCACTGAAATCATATTTTAACTTTAATTTAACTAGATTTTTATGACTTGGGATTTTTTCACGACCAATGAATTTGGTTAATTCAAAAGAGAAATTAACAGGTAGTTGGAACTGAGTTTTTTTTGGTTGTTGTTGAGGGGTTATTTTCGTAGTAATATATAAAAATAAGTAGAGATGAAGTATATTTTTTGGTTGTTCATTGTGATTTTACAAAACTCCATCCCTTAATGTTTAAGGCTACATTTAATGTAGACAGTTAATGTTTTAACAACTCTAAAAACATTCCAGTGAGGATCACATAAAAAGGAAAGGCTTTGGCCTCCTTCCAGCTACTGGTCTGAATACATTAGTATGTGTCTAATTCTTGCATTTATGCTAATGAACTCTTGTAAGTTTCTGGTGTTATTAATTATGCATCCTTAATTAGCAATCAAATGTCCTCTACCCTGTAGTCAGAAAGTGACTGGGAAACAAAAAAAATCTTCATTGTTTCCTAAACTGATGTATATACATCATTTGATCTTTTAAGATTTTTATAGAGAAAAAGTTTTATTGCATTTATATGGTACAATTATGACTTTTTAGAATTTATTGAGAATTTATATATCAATTTTCAGTTGTTAACATATATTAACTATTTCACGTGTGTGTGTGTGTGTGTGTGTGTGTGTGTGTGTGTATTTTCTCCCAAATGCTCATTTGGGGTGAAACTTTATGTACTGTTAGCATAAAATGTGATTTTCCAGATCACTGTAATTGAAGAGAGAAATGTTTGTTACATTATTGTACCATGACATCGAAAATATATTGAGGCAAGATGACACTGTGTTCTAAGATTTCAATTGTTTCTAGATGCAGCTTGAAAATTCTTAAGAGTTCAGTTTATGGTATATATACATATACATACATACATACGTACATATATATATATATATACACACACACACACACACACACACACATATATATATATAATTTATATTTCTACATTTGGGGTACATTATATATTATGATACTTAATTTTGTAAACTGTTTAGGAAACGGAAATCATTGTGGTTTGGAAAGTGAATTTGCTTTTTGACTCTGACTCTTTCAGCAGGGTACTTCTTTTTTTTTTTTTGACATTTTATTGGGGAACAGTGTGTTTTTCCAGGACCCATCAGCTCCAAGTCAAGTAGTTGTCTTCAATCTAGTTGTGGAGGGCGCAGCTCCTTGGCCCATATGGGAATTGAACCGGCAACTTTGGTGTTATGAGCCTGCACTCTAACCACCTGAGCTAACCGGCCGCCCCCAAGCAGGGTACTTATTATTGAGGCATTAAGTCTGGCAGATCACTTGCCTTCTATTCAAACTATCTGAAAGTACCATTTTCAAATTCTGCTACCTACTAGCTGTGGGAGCTTGAGCAATTTACTTACTCTCTGCACCTCAATTTTATCATCTGTAAAATGGAGATAATACTAGTACCTATCTCATAGGTTTATTAAGAGAATTAAATGGGATTGTATGTTTAAAGCTTAGAACATAGTACAGATTAAGTATAATATACTCGTGTTTGTTAAATAACTTTGAAAGAATAAAAAAGAAAATCATTGCTTTTTATTTTGTTTTGTAAATTAGAAAGCAGACCGAGCAAAGAGATTTGAATTTTTACTGAAGCAGACAGAACTTTTTGCACATTTCATTCAACCTTCTGCACAGAAATCTCCAACATCTCCTCTGAACATGAAATTGGGACGTCCTCAAATAAAGAAGGATGACAAGCAGAGCTTAATTTCTGCTGGAGAGTATGTTGGCATCTCTCTCTATTTTCTTTCTTCTCTCCTTTCCTCTCTTCCTCTTATCCCCTCATCTCCCTCCCTTCATACACCTCTTCTCTCTTCACTTATTCTAATTTTCTGCTCAAAAAATAAGATTATTGTCAGTGCAAATATGTTTTGTAGGCAATAATGTATTTTTTTCTTACTAGCAGTAAACCTATAATAATGTAGGCTGGTTTTACCAACTTATAAGCAAAATCCTAGATAACTCATTGCTTTTTTCATAAAGGATACTAGCAATGTATACTGACTTAATTGACACCTTAGCATTTGGGTTGAATATGGAGGTGTTTTTTTCTTCATCTCAGCTACCGCCACAGACGCACGGAACAAGAAGAAGATGAAGAACTACTCTCGGAGAGTCGTAAAACATCTAATATGTGTGTTAGATTTGAGGTATCACCTTCATGTAAGTTCTTCATCACGTTGGTGTTTTTCTTTTCAATTTGGATTTAGAAAAATTTTACTTGATTGTATTAATGAAAGTATGAGATGTCATTGATTTTTTTTTTCAGATGTGAAAGGAGGACCACTGAGAGATTATCAGATTCGAGGACTGAACTGGTTGATTTCTTTGTATGAAAATGGAGTCAATGGTATTTTGGCGGATGAAATGGTAAGGAGCTGGTAGCCAAAAAGGCATTCACAGTTATCAACTTTTATGTAAATTTGAAAACCATAGCTGAACTACCCCTCTGAGGCTTGGAGGCTAAGTGCTTTATTCAGTTATTATAATGTAAAAGGCATTTGTAAAGTCTAGAATTGTTTCTTTAGGTAACCTCTAGAACATATACTTTCACTGGCCGCAAAATTCTTATTGAGTTTTCCTCAAATGGTATTTAAAAAACCCTCCTTGTACTTTTGTTTTTATTTGCACTTTGGCTTCTAGGAAGCTCAGAGACAAAATGAACGCCAAAATGGAGCACCTGTGTAACTTTTAATGGTCTGCTTGTTGTGTCCTTTGTGCCTTTTCGTATTCTTTACTTTCTGGTCTTTCCTTGGTCCCTCTTGATTTCTATTTTAGTATTAATTTATGTTTCATGTTTTCATTGTAGGCCACCTGAAACACGTTTTCATTTTTGGCTACCTGAAATCATTTTGGGAATGAGGTGGGGAATATAAACCCAACACTAAAAGAATGAATAAAGCAAACAATAAACAGATGAATGCAGGCATGAGTAAATGTAAATGCCTCCATGTGTGAGCAGTCATAAAATGAATAGATGGAATAAAGAACAAAACTGTAAAGAGCAAAGTTGGGTCCGGACAGTTGAGTGACAGGTAGGGGTCAGGAAGTAAGCCAATGATACATAAATTAAAAGATCAAAGAGAAAAAGGCCATTTAAGATGATAATTCAGCAGATCCAGGGAGTATACGAAGGCCTAGATAGGTATTTTAAGACCAAATAAATAAGATGGGAGTAAAGAGAGGTCAGGTGAGTTCTAGATCTTTATGACCCAGTGCTATTTATATTTATGTGACTCCTCTTGGCTGCAGCCTGTCTAAACATGAAGGATCTAAAGATCCTTAATATTGAATGTATACTGACACCAGATATGATTGAATTACTAAAAAAGGGAAAGATACTTTAAGGAATATAGAAAATTTGGGGAAAAAATCAAGAAAAAAATTAAAAGTAAGTTATAATTCTGCTACATAGAAATAATCTCAGTTAACATTTGGGCATATTTCTTTTTAGTCTTTTTCCTTCAGTTGTATTTATTTTGCATAGTTGAGATAATATTGTGTATATAATTGGGTATTCTGATTTCTTCACATTCATATTTTCCACATAAAACATTTTTGTAAAAATAAATAATTAATCTTAGGAAAGTACTGTAATTTTATTTATCTCCTCCCTTATTGCTGATCATTTAGATTGGTTGATGTGTGTGTGTGTGTGTGTGTGTGTGTGTGTGTGTAATATGTGGAATATAATAATGCTATCATAAGAACTCTTGTAATTTCGTTATCCTGTACCTCTCAGATTATTTCCATAAATTCCTAGAATTGGCATTACTTGGTTAAGGAGTGTAAACATTTTAAGCTTTTGATGCATAGCATTCATAAAACCCATCTCTTTAAGTGAAATGTCACATAGGATATAAAATAGCTTTAAGTTTAGGTTTATAAAAGAAAATATATACCTTACATAGAGATAAAGCCAGAAACTGTTTTAAAAGGCCATGCAGTATAGGAAAATTTTCCCTTTCCCATGTGTTAGTGGTGGGTTCATAGGTGTTAAATATATTATTTTTAAAAGTCCCCTGGACTAGGTAATCTCTAATGTCCTTGCGGGCTGCAAAGTTCTTTTATGTTCTGTTCTTTTATGGTTCATTAGGTCTTCAATGGTGTGAGATGCACATATAGAGCCATATGTCCCTTGAGATGTATAGTCTGAATATTTCATGCCTGGGCTGTAGTAATGTTGGGGACAATGGGAAAGAAAGAGTGGTATCTAAGTAGGTTGGTAAATGTGTCTTTGTGAAATACACACTCAAAATTCATTTTGCAACTAGTAGAAAAAATTATTTAGCAGATTGCTTGCTTTTTTAGTAGTGAAAATCTCCTAAACAGAACGTTGCTTTGTTGAGCAACTTTCTAATTGCAAGCTCTTGGTTTCTTTTTTTTTTCCCTAACAGTAAGTATTGAATTGGAATGGTTATTCACTTTAAAAAACAGTCTTTTAACTTTTACCTATGTGAGATAGTTGGCAAATAATTTTTGTAATGTTGTTACTAACAAAATGTTTCATTAAATAAAAAACATTTATGGATTTTTTTTCCTTGTGATGATAATGCAGGGTCTTGGTAAGACTTTACAAACAATTGCTTTGCTTGGTTACCTGAAACATTACCGAAACATTCCTGGACCTCACATGGTTTTAGTTCCAAAGTCTACTTTACACAACTGGATGAATGAATTTAAGCGATGGGTCCCATCTCTCCGTGTTATTTGTTTCATCGGAGACAAGGATGCGAGAGTAAGTGAGAAACAGGTTTTAAAAGGCAATCAAGAATAACATCATTTCTGGGGTTAAGTTGGATACTATTGCCATAAAAGTCATTTAATTAAGTTGACTACTACTGCTAAATAATACTTAAGCTTAGTGCTTACTCTATAATAGGCTCTGTTGTAAGTGCTTTTTATATATTAATTTCATTCTCACAATACTCCTATGTGGTAGATGTGTTACCTATTAATAACAGACAATCCACTATTTTTATCTGTGTTTACTTTTAACTAGCTCATTAACTTAAGCATTTTTTAAAAAGATTTTCTTGGGGAATTGGGGAAAGGATCAGAGTTGGAGAATTGGGGAAGGGAACATTGTGTTTTTCCAGGACCCATCAGCTCCAAATCAAGTCGTTGTCCCTCAATCTTAGTTGTGGACGGCTCAGCTCAGCTCCAAGTCCAGTCACTGCTTTCACTCTAGTTGCGGGGGGGTGGAGCAGCCCACCATCCCATGTGGGAATTGAACTGGCAACCCTGTTGTTAAAAGCACACTCTCTAACCAACTGGGCCATCCGGCCGCCCGTTGGCAGCTAGCTCAGTGGCATCTCAGCTCGGGCGCAGCTCACTGGCTCATGTGGGAACTGAACCAATGACCCTTTTGCTCAGAGCTTGCGCTGTAACCAACTGAGGCACCTGGCTGGCCCCCAACCTAAGCCTTTTTGAGTTGTATTTTTAAGTGACTTTTTATTAAAAAACTTACTTTATTGACAGTGTATCTTATCAGTGACTCATTTGTACTATTTTGACACCAGAAATGTGCAAATTTGCAGTACTTAATGTTTCATGTTTCAGATTTGGCTTTGACTTGTGTACATGCACACACATGCACATACACACACAAATGGAACCTTTTCTATTTGTACAGAGAGCCTGTTTGTGTTTATGCATAGGCAAAAGCTTTCAGCTTTGGTTTTTTAATAGAAAAATACATGTCTGCATGTTTTCTCAGATAATATTAGAAACTCTGGGCTCTTCTTTAAATTAGCCATTGGTCAATCTAGTAGGCTACAGTTATTTTAGGACTGTAGAATTAATTTAAAGATAAATATACAAAATTACCAAAATGAATAATCAGCTTAGGAAGCATATTATTAAACTTTGTCTTTATTTTGCATCCAGAGAACATGGTTTAGAGTACAAAGATTTATTCTATTTTACATGTTTAGATAGGTTATCAAAATATATTCTCAGAAGGATGACAGCCTGATGAATTATGTAATTTTATTTTTATCATTTTGCTTGAAGAAAAATTACTCAAATGTATTTTATTTTAACATAAATAATTTGAATATTGGAATATTGAGCTCATAAATTTAGAATTACAGGCTTGATTTTGCGTTATGCCTAATATTTCCCAGAAGCAGATTAGTCACTTAGAACTCTTTCTGATCACTACTATTATTTAATATAATGACACTTAAACAACTTCATATTTCTAAAGTACTGATTTTTGCTGAAATGATTTCTTGATGATCATAAGCAAAAGAAATACCTAGGCTTGTGTTTTCATGATGTCTCAGTAAAAAGTGTATGTCAGTGGTTTTCAACTATATTATATGGAATCCAAGGGTTTCATGAAGTATATATGAAGTATTTCATGACTTTTAAAGAAAGAGTGGATGTGTTTAATTTATGACTACCCTATCTCTACCCCATGGGAGGTTGGGTTCTTCTGATAGCTTAAAAAATTTCTTACTTTTGAAAAGCAGCCTTCAAAATCAGTGTTTTTCAAATTGCCACTTGTTAATAGGTTGGGAATTAATCTTAGTGGTTGGTGACAACAATTTTTTAAAACATTGAGATAAAATAGAATAAGAAATAGAGTGTTTTATATATAGTAAGGATGCATATTGCTTCCTTCTGTATACATACATTTGAACCTGTATGTGTATACTGGATTGCAACCTAAAAATTATTAATTACATAAAGAATGTTCCATATTCAACACCTAGACATTGATGTTGGCTTGTATAGAGAAAATCCAGACCATTATGTATACATTTGAACCTTGATACCTCATGGGATGGATATATTGGGTCTTTCTGATTTCCTGGCCTTCTGTAAACATTTTATGAGGTCAGTATTTTAGTAATGAAAAATTTATGTTGTCTACAATAGGTATTTAAATTGAGTTGGGAAATTATTAGAGATATTCCTGATCCTGTCTGATGCTAATGTAGTCTTGAAGTATGTAGAGGTGTGATTCCCAAACATGGTTTTGTGACCCCTTTCTTTTCCAGAGGCTTCAAAGATCATGGATATGGAAACAGGAGATCTGGTTTTAGTTCTGGCTTTGCTACTGTGTGATATTGAATGAATTATGAAGGGCCTTTATTTTGTCACCTATAAAATAAGAGCTTTTGGATTATGTGATCTTGAGTGTTCTGTCAAGATATTTAACTCTAAATCTATCGAGTACTTCACAAATTTCAAAGCAAAGCTAATCTGAATTAAAAATATGCATATGTTTCATGAGACTGTAGGAGGAATCATTAAACTGAGTGTTTCACAGAATCAAACATGGATACGATGATTGCACGACTGAATGGGGTCTGGCACCCTGGTTCTCTTTATTTTGTCTCTAATCACTAATGTCTTAATTTTTAAATATGACCACTTCCCAGGTGCAGCTGAGATCTCTTTTCTGTCCTCTACTTCTGTCCAGGCAACCCTTTAATACATAGTGGGCACTCAGTAAATATTTATTGAAAGAGTTCACAGTGTTTTGCTGCATAATTATGAATTTATGAAGTAAAGACTTTGCAGTGAACAGTTAACTTTATGCGCTGTAATTTCAGATTTATAATTCTAATCAGCACCTTCTCAATATAGATTTTGCTGTTCCCTGTTAACTTCTATGGTTTTATTTTGACCCATATATCTGGAATTCAGTTCATACAAGTTAAAAATGCTCTCAGTCAACTTGGCTACCATGTTGGCCACTGTCTGCAAAGATTTAAAATAGTTTTAAATAGTCTCACGGTTTTAAATGGACTCCTGTGCTAGACAGAGCAAATCCCCTTTATGAAATCACATTCAGGAAGTTCACCAAAAAAATGAATAGGCTTTTATGACCCCTTAACAAAGAATGTGACTGGTCTCTGCTAGAAACTAAGGAACATACAAGAGATTGCAAAAGGTTCGAATCACTCATGCATATTGAGTTCTTTCCATTTGTTAAAACTGTATCATGTTGGTAATGCTTAGATCTTGGCAAAAATATGGTATTCAATAAGCAGTTACTTTGCCCATGGTCTTTTGGTCTCTTAGTGGTATGAAGAGAGAGCCTAGTAATTTAGTAATCTTCTGGTTATATGAACTTCTCCAGTTCATTTAATATGCTATAATCATTTAAGGGTAGCCTTTGCTTCTTTTTTGTTAATGAATATATTAGCATGTTATCGCAATAATTAACCACCAAGGTACCTTTTGGGACCTGGTTTTCCTATCTCTAAAATGGATGAGATCAAATGATTCCCAGGGTCTCTTAGGATTCTTAATTCTTGCCTTGAGGCTTTAAATCTGTGATCATCTTGTTGCCATACTCTAATATAAGGAACTTTATTTTGCATTAGGCTGCTTTTATTCGTGATGAAATGATGCCAGGAGAGTGGGATGTTTGTGTTACTTCTTATGAGATGATAATTAAAGAAAAATCTGTATTTAAAAAGTTTCATTGGCGATACCTAGTTATTGATGAGGCTCACAGAATAAAGAATGAAAAATCTAAGGTAAGCCTGTTCTCAATATCTTTATTAAAGTTCTCTTTTAACTATTACACCTGTTTACATCTCTGTATTCAAAATAAGAAACTAATGGATGATTGTGATTTTATTCATGGCATGTGAATGAAAATCAGTTTTTAAAATGGTTTTAAACTTTAAATTATTGAATATAAGACAAATGAAAATCAAGTACAGTTTTTAATGTAATGAATATTAGGCATTCATTTGCTATACCTGTTATAGCCTAACTCTGTTATACTACAGTATTTTAATGTTTTGGTAATATTTGGTGTGCAGATGTCATTTGCATTAATTTATTTTTATTGAGAAGCTACCTTATGTGTATTCATATGGATTAGGAAATTCATTTCCTGGAATTATCTGACTTGTGTGAATTAGAGTGTGGTGTTAACATTGAAAAATATCAATATTTCTTGCCATTCAACTCCATCAACAGTAGGAAAAGCATCAATTATTATGATGAACCTCTCTTTGGATCACTGGGCTACTTTGGGAGAAACAGGGACAGAACTGGAGCAAAACCACCAGGTGGATCATACTAATTTCAAATTGGAACTAATACCCGATAAGAGGACGCATGTTAGAGAATAATTGTTTATTTAAGAGCATTATAAAAATGTGCATTTTTATTGATTAGATTGCTGTTTTTTTATACCTTTTGTGCTTTCATTTTTGTGGTAGTATATTTAGAAAGTTAATATAAGTTATCAGGGAAAATAGGCTTAACTCTGGTGCTTAAAAATTGTGGCCAGGCCAAGTTAGAACTTGGCTAGGCATGCAGATGAACTTGATTGACAGGGTGAAGGAGATATTATTGTGTAAAATGACTAGAGTGAATTCCATGGAGTTCTGTTTCTGTGGACCCAAAATGGAAAAAATAATTTTTTTGAAGTGGGGGAAGGGTCTCAGGTATGACTATGCTCTGCATTCTTGTTAAGTGTAGAAATGCCTAGAATATTTTGTTTAGTTGTGCTTTACTATGGCACGGTCACCTGAACTAGGATATTTTTCCATAGAAAATTAATTTTCAAGTTTTATTTTATTCAAAAAATGTATTGGTTGGATAAAAAACTGAATGTTGAGTATCCTAATAAATAAAGCAATGTTAACATAACTATTATTTTTCTAGCTTTCAGAGATTGTTCGTGAATTCAAGTCAACCAACCGCTTACTCCTTACTGGAACACCTTTGCAGAATAACCTGCATGAGCTGTGGGCATTACTCAACTTTTTATTGCCTGATGTCTTTAATTCTGCAGATGTAAGTTTAAGTCATATTTTAAGTATAATTTTCTTATGTTGACAGATATATCTTTTCAAAGTATAGAATGTAGATTGAAATTTATAGTTCTTTTTCATTTGTAATTCCTTATCTGTGTGTTTCGGTTCTTTCAGAAAAGAGCTCTTAAGTACAACTTTTTCAAATGGGGATATTTAGAGAAATAATATTTCTTTCCTTTGA